ATCTCCTTCAACTCTAAAACACAAACCATCATAAGCACCAATCAAATTAACTGCTTCTGTCTATTCCTGCACTTCCCTTTTCTAGCCTATGTCGGTCTAGTTCCAGCCTGGAATTATTGCTGGCTCTTTATCTAACTGTGTTCCCTGCATCCACTTCAATCCCATCCATTCCAATGTCCCGAAGGCAACAAGAATCTTTTCACAATATAAACTGGATCGGCTCCCTTGACTATTTAAAACCCTTACATCAGCGGTTCTCACCTGTGGGTCGCGTCCCCTTTGGGGGTCAAACGACCCTTTTACAGGGGTCGCCCAATTCATAATAATAGCAAAATTACAGTTACGAGGCAGCCAAAGAAAATGATATTATGGTTGGGGGGTTGACCACATACATGAGGAACTGTATTAAAGGGTCTCGGCACTAGGAAGGTTAAGAACCACTGCCTTACATGATTCTCTTTTTATTTAGAATCTGAACTCCCTATACCATGGCCCAAAAGGCATTAGAAGTCGGTCCCCAATAGCTTTCTTTCCTTCTTTATTCAGAGGACTCTATGAAAGCTGGTCCCCTATCCAGATACGTTTCATGTAATCAGTTATTTTCAATATTAACAATAGATTGAGTCCACCGCTCCCCCTCACATTAAAGACTGGTCCAATCAGCACTGTGGAAAGACCATTTCCAAACAGCCTATCTAAAACCCATCCTCCCTACACTTTCCTATTACATAAGCCAAAATAACAGACTCGCTGCCATCGAGTCAACATTAACTCACAGGGACCCCTTAGGAAAGGGTAAAACTGCCCCTGTGGGTTTCCGAGACTATACAGTGTGCAGAAGTAGAAAACCCTGTCTTTCTCCCAAGGAGCCACTGGTGGTTTTGAAGTGCCAACCTTGCAACCCAGGGGTAACCACTAAGCCACTAGGGTTCCTTTTTCTATTAGACAGGTTAATTAAAAAAAAACATGGCTGTTGAATCAACACCCAATCTATGATGACCCCATGTGATGCAGATCAGAATTGCTCCCCAGGATTTTTCTAGCTATGATTGTTACAAAAACACATAAATTTTACAAAAGGTCTTTCTTCTTTCATGGCACTGTTGACTGGGATCTCACCCCCCAGGTCAATATGTCTCCTTTACTGCTTAAGCAAGTCAGAAATGGGTTTTCTCTTATTGCAACACAAAGGTTTTTAAGCAATTCCTTCAATATCACAAGGAGGCCAGTGAACCTTAAAGTTATATCTTCAATATGTTGCTTTCCCAGGAGCTCCATTTCCACTAAGCTCATCATCTTCTATCAAATGATGAGTTCTTTGTACTTCACTGTCTCCCTGGCACCCCTGCATTACTACTAATTACAGGAAGTCCGCCAGTGACAGCATATACCAGGCATCCTCAAATCACGGCCCGCGGGCCACTTGCAGCCCACTAAGGACATTTATCTGGCCCACCGGATGTTTTCACCCCATTTGTTTTTTCACTTCAAAATAAGATATGTGCAGTGTGCATAGGAATTTGTTCATAGTTTTTTTGAAAAAACTATAGTCTGCCCTTCCCAGGAGCTCCATTTCCACTAAGCTCATCATCTTCTATCAAATGAGGAGTTCTTTGTATTTCACTGTCTCGCACCCCTGCATTACTACTAATTACAGGAAGTCCGCCAGTGACAGCATATACCAGGCGTCCTCAAATCACGGCCCGCTGGCCACTTGCGGCCCACTAAGAACATTTATCCGGCCCACCAGATGTTTTCACCCCATTTGTTTTTTCACTTCA